CATTTTATTTACCTTTAATCTGCAGAAATGTTCCTTTTAAAACTGTCATTTAATACTCTCTCGTTTCACACAAAAGTAAAGTCCAGTGTCCCGAGTTTTACTCCTTAATAATCACCACAAACGTTCCAGGCTCTTTTTTTTGCTGTGAATCCAGGAGTTTCTTCAAACAAGGTCAGAATCAATGGAATTGTTCCTCCCAAAACCTCAGGCAAATCCCAGAAACGAGCCGGAGCCAGAATAATTGTGTTGAAGATAAAGAAGCATCACGAGGACACGTCAGAGTCACATCATCTCCAACACCAACAGTCTTTGTCTCAAAGTTCTCATAGATGGTGCATCCTGAAGAAATAAATATATGTCAGTGTTTAACAACAGAGAAAGATCATGTATGCTCTGTGCTAAAAATAAAACATATTAACCTTAAAAGATCAGAATTAGACGAGAAGATTGGACATAAACTTACGAGCAAGTGTGAGCGTCAGTAGAAAAACAAAACAGACTTCATTTTCTCCTTCGTCCACTTAATACAGCAGTAGAATGAACTCGTATGAGAAGCTGCTTCTCCTTCATAGAACCATATAAAGTAGGAGGAACAATCACAGGGCAATCTGATTGGCCCTTCATTATGAGGGATTACTTTACAACCACAGTGGAATTTTTTTGACCGTCTTTCAAGCTAAAGCACATGAAACAATAGAAGCAGCAAGCTTCTGTTTCAAGTTTTCATGGTGGTTTCTGTACCTGCTGCTAGCTGAAACACACTAACTACAGTTTTCTTCATTTTTTTCCACTCTGTATAAAAGAAGTGTATGAACACTGAAGCCAACCAGTGAGCATCAATGTTGGCATTTTTGCAAATACTACAATGGTTCTTTGGACCAGAAGTGACCATATCTGGACCTGGATGTGGATACACATTAGTCCCTTACACACAGACACGCCCACTTCTGTGTTTGTGGTTTATTGTCCCTTTTGGAGTATTCTGTGAGGGTGTGTGGTCTTTGATGTGGTGTGTTTGGAAGTGCTGCGGTACGTTCTGTGGTTGTGAGTGTAAGTAGGTGTAAAGATGGCGGCCTGCTCAGACTCTGCGGCCTGGAGGCTCTCCCATTAGATTACCACCTGGATTTCCCAACAAAAGGAAATAAATCCTTGACCTGTTTACGCAACTTAGCAGGGTTTACAAAGCGTCCCCCTCCCCCACATTGGCCGGTCTGACCACATCAGCCTGCTTGTGACCCCCATATACAGACCTCTCATCGTAAGGATTAAACATCACGCTTTTACCATCGGGTCTGGCCTGAGGGAGCAATGCCAGCTACAGGACTGCTTCGATGAGACAGACTGGTACATCTTCAAACAAACTGCCACCAACAACAACCACACAGACTTAAATGGTAAATGGACTTGAGCTTATATAACGCTTTTTCTAGTCTTCCAACTACTCAAAGCGCTTTTACACCACATGTCACACCTACGCATTCACACCCTTTCACACACTGATGGTAGTGATGATCAGATGAGCATCATCCATCAGAAGTAACTAATCCCATTCAAACACCGCCACCGAAGCAGCGGGAGCAATTCGGGGTTAAGTCTTGCCCACGGACACATCGACATGTTGCCCAGCTGGGGGATCGAACCCTCAACCTTGCGCTGCACTCAGCACTCAGCACCTTCTGCATGGGCAATATAACCACAGAGATGAACATACATGCACTCCCCAACCACAAACTGTGGATGAATGCAGCTATGGTTAACCTGTTGAAGGCTTGTGAAACTGCTTTCCGCACAGGTGGCCTACAGTACAGCCGGGTCCAGACTGAGGAAAGGCATCAGACAAGCGAAGCGCTGCTACAAAATGCGTATAGAGGAGCTCTGACTCCTGACGCATGTGGCATGGCATCAAGACCATAACAGGCTATGCAGGCAACAACAGCAGCCCAACACACACTGCCAACTCATCTCTCCCTGAGGACCTGAACCACGTCTTTGCCAGGTTTGATTGTAGAGACAATCTCAACAACCCATCACTGACACTGCAGGGGACATGCCAGGTGGGCTGATGCTGAGCCCCTACTAGGTGAGACCGCCTCAGAACAACTTCATCCAAAACAAAGCCACTGATCGGGTTACAGGAAGGGCCCTGAAACACTGTGCAGGACAGCCAACAGCAGTGTTCACCAACCTATTTAACATCTCCCTGAAGCAGGCAACAGTCCCAACCTGCCTCAAGTTGGCCACAATTCCTCCAGTGCTAAAACAGACAGCAATCAGGTCACTGACTCATTGACCACTGGCGCTGACACCGGTTGTGATGAAGTTCTTTGAACGCCTTGTTCTGGTACACATCAAGAGCAACATGCCACTCTCCTTGGACAAACACCCACAACACAACTGAGGACGCAGTGTCACTGGTCCTCCCCACTGCACAGACACACTTTGATCAGCGGGATGCTGTTCATTCACTTCAGTTCAGCTCCGCTTTCAACCTAAACCACCCCCCCCACAACCTGGCCACAAAACTGATCCCGCTGGGCATTAACACTCCTGTGCAGCTGGATCAATGTTTTCCTCACTGACAGGCCACAGACTGTGTCTATGGTAAAAGATGCACCCTAGGGTTCTGTACTGAGCCCTCTACTGTTCTCCCTCTACACACACGACTGCAGACCCTCCCACAAGAATACCTCCGTTCTTAAGTTTGCAGACGACACCATCCTAGTTGGCTGAAACACCAACAACAATAAGTCAGCCTACAGAACAGAGGTTGAGAACTGGGAGCCGAGACAACAACCTGATCCTCAATGCGGTGAAGATGAAGGAGATTGTCCTCGACTTCAGGAGGCTGAAGCCCAACATTAACGGCAAGACAGTGGCGGTCGTGCACAGCTTCAAATACCTAAGTGCCCACGTCAGCCAGGACGCGACTTGGTCCATCAACACCTCAGCGATGGCCAAAAATGCTGTTCAGAGTCTCCACTTCCTGACATGCCTGAAGAAGGTGTGACTTCCAAATCAGCTGCTGGTGAACTTCTACATGTCAGACATGAAGAAGATAAAAAAGATCCAAACGATAACACGGGGGCAATAGCTTTAAATTCAAAATAAACAATACCAGACCACGCTGATAGGAATCAGCTCGCCTAGGCCACTTCCTACGCCTGCCGTCCGGTCTACACAGCACCTGACCCCCATGCCAATCCCTGAAGGTGGTGCGCCCACAGGGTGGCAGCTCCATGTTGTTTCTTCGGGTTGAACCCGATTGGGCCCCATGTAGGAAAGCCTGGCCACTAGACGCTTGCCGTCAGGCCCCCCAAGGTCTGGCTCCAGTGAGGTGGCCCAGTCTCTCACTTCCAAGGTATCTGTGTTCCCCTTCTGTTGCTTCTTGGAGGTTTCTGAATCACTCTTTGTTTGGATCTCACCTGGGACCTATGTGCCTTAGGAGACCCTAACAGGGGGTAATGCCCCCCAACAACACAAATTCCAGGTTCACAGGGACATGCAAACCCCTTCACCACCATAAGGTGGCCATTCATTTGGGGCTCAGCAGGATTGTGGGCCGGACCGTCGTGGTGAAGAGGGAACTACGCTGGAAGATTAAACCTACGATTAACCAGTCGATCTTCGCTCCAACCCTCAGCTGTGGTCATGAACTTCAGGAAGGAGAAACTTTTCATCCAGTCAAAATGTGTTAAAGCAACACCTTTATTAAAAATGAAAGAAATAGTCAAGAATATTATAAAAACTCTGCAGTAGAAGAAGAAAAACAAGTCAGTCCTCGTGTCATACAGAGTTTATTAAAAACAAAAAAGCTTTAAAATAAGAAATGCAACATAAATCCTCAAACACATCTTTCCTTTAATACAATCATCTTTGCCTTTGAATCAACACAAAAATAAAAGTTAAAAGTTAACATCTTTAAAACGACACAGAAAAAAAGAGAAACAGCGGACCAGCTTCTCTCCCACACAAGTGTTCCTGCAACCGCTTCAGAGACCACTCCACTACCAAGCAGAGGTAAGCTGCTCCACTGTTTGTCCCCACTACAGTGCACCTTGTGTTACTGAACATTACCCGACACACAGTCAGCACTCCAGCTTCCGTCCAGTTTTAGTGCACGACTGCAAATATTGTTTATCTTGCTAATACTCTACCTTTGGTGATAAAACCAATCTAACAATGATTGAACACAGATGAGTCAAAACATGTAAAACCATACACAAAACATTACAAAGGTTATTCTCTTCTTATGGTCACATTGCTGTAAGATTTTACATTCCCACAGTCTTATAATATACATATCAAATATTTAATACGTCTTAAATGAGCACATCTTTTTAGCCAGTCGGAGGAGTTCTGACCCCGGTGTAGATCGTCTCTTCTGTTGCTGCTTTGACTTTTCTCTTCTCTCTTTTGTCCGTTCTAATCTTAGAAAAAGTCGGTGCAGAATAAACCAATGAGTCCTCAGCGCTCTGAGAAAATAACAGAAAATAGTTTGAAGTCAGTATGCTGTTGATAAAGCTGTGCAGAGTATGTATCATGAATTTAGTTTCAACAGCAACATGAGGGTGAAACTTTTGACCTGCGAGAAAGTTTGCATGAGCGCTATAAACGACCAACGGTATAAACGACCGCATAAACGACCAACGGTTAACGGGTGGACAACTTTCTCGCCGTGCATCAATCAAAGTCTGTCTAAGTAGTTCTGACAAATAATGTTAGCATGCGTTGCTAACTCATCAGGGGACAGTAAGGTTATTCGTACAACATCAGGTCATTATATGGTAATGTCAGCTACCTGAGAAAAAAATAGGATGAGCCTGCAGATATTTCTATAAACTTATAAAAAGCAAAACAATATTCCAACAAATGATTCTCGTTGAATCTTTTCTGAAGTATCTCACCTGCTGGCGTCGTCGATCTGCTGCAGGATGTGTTTGCAGAACTTCAGCAGCTGTGATATCAATTAAAAAAAAGATGTAAACGTTTAATTTACACAAAGATATAAAGTTAATATTTGCTCAATACTTTATTTATTTATTGGAGATAATGTTCTGTTACCTTTGCTGGAATCACACGATTTAGTCTTGATGATATGAATCAGGAAAGCTATAATAATCAAGCTTATAGCCAAAGCAGCTGATAACAGAGACAGAGCTATTACGGCCGTCTGATTGTCGGCTCCTGAAAACATATAAAAACATATTGTGTTAAGATGTTTCACTAAAATCTTCCAGGTAGATTCAACTGTTTGAAAATGAATGTTAAAAAATGATTCATATTGAATGCTCTGCAGTTACCTTTGATGTCAATCTTTGTCCCATTTCCAAACAATATCTCTCCACATGCGGCCACAGCACAGAAATAAGTCGAGGCGTCGGAGGAGTTGACGGTCTTTGAGAAGCTGTAGACACATTTCTGTGGAGAGTGAGCCTCTGGACTCTCCTCACATCCTCCAGATCTGTTTCCATGAGTGTAAATGACACTGGGATGATTTTCATCTGATCCGGCTCTGAACCAGAACACTCTGTGTTTCCCTGGACATGTGTTGTTTTCAGACTCAGAGAGAACAGAACACTGCAGAGTCATCAGGTCTCCTGGGTGGACTGGATCCTGTGAAATGTCTTGAACGACTGAGGTGATACTGGGCTCTGGTCCTGAATAAATTCAACACAAAGTAAATATGCTGGATTTGTTAAAAATATTCAAAGTAGCTGCAGTTTAGAATTAAGAGAAAAACATCCTAGAAAGTATGCTGTATGTTTTTTCCTTATTCAGGGGACATTTGGTTGACTGTCAAAATGGTGTTAGGTATTATTTTAAAGAGTTGAAGTGCATTTTATTTACCTTTAATCTGCAGAAATGTTCCTTTTAAAACTGTCATTTTAATCCTCTCTTGTTTCACACAAAGTAAAGTCCAGTGTCCCGACTTTTACTCATTAATAATCACGACAAACGTTCCAGGCTCTTTTCTTGCTGTGAATCGAGTTTTCTCAACTTCAACAAGGTCAGAATCAATGGCATTGGTTCCTCCCAAAACCTCAGGCAAATCACCAGAAACGAGCCGGAGCCAGAATAATTGTGTTGAAATAAAGAAGCATCACGAGGACACGTCAGAGTCACATCATCTCCAACACCAACAGTCTTTGTCTCAAAGTTCTCATCGATGGTGCATCCTGAAGAAAATAAATATATGTCAGTGTTTAACAACAGAGAAAGATCATGTATGCTCTGTGCTAAAAATAAAACATATTAACCCTTAAAAGATCAGAATTAGACGAGAAGATTGGACATAAACTTACGAGCAAGTGTGAGCGTCAGTAGAAAAACAAGAACAGACTTCATTTTCTCCTTCGTCCACTTAATACAGCAGTAGAATGAACTCGTATGAGAAGCTGCTTCTCCTTCATAGAACCATATAAAGTAGGAGGGAACAATCACAGAGCAATCTGATTGGCCCTTCATTATGAGGGTATTACTTTACAACCACAGTGGAATTTTTTTTGACCGTCTTTCAAGCTAAAGCACATGAAACAATAGAAGCAGCAAGCTTCTGTTTCAAGTTTTCATGGTGGGTTTCTGTACCTGCTGCTGAGTGGAAACACACTAACTACAGTTTTCATTAGTATTTTCCACTCTGTATAAAAGAAGCATACGTATGAACACTGAAGTCAACCAGTTATTTGTGAAAGCATCAATTTTGAAGCCAAAGTATTTGAACGAGGATGTCGACACACATTGTCTGGTTGAGCTGCACGTGCCCAGGAAAATCTCAGAATCTATTTGTCTGGTCTGTTCTTGCTGTCCCCCAAAACACTTGACAAATGTTATATCAAGACGCTTTACAGAGAGCAGGTAAAGACGTTACTCATTGTTATGTTACAAAATAATATTAGGATAGACTACCTCCCATAGTACATTTAGAGACTGTAGGTACCACGAGCAGGCCTGATAACTGAAGGCTCTACCTCCCATAGTACATTTAGAGACCGTAGGTACCACGAGCAGGCCTGATAACTGAAGGCTCTACCTCCCATAGTACATTTAGAGACTGTAGGTACCACGAGCAGACCTGATAACTGAAGGCTCTACCTCCCATAGTACATTTAGAGACTGTAGGTACCACGAGCAGGCCTGATAACTGAAGGCTCTACCTCCCATAGTACATTTAGAGACTGTAGGTACCACGAGCAGGCCTGATAACTGAAGGCTCTACCTCCCATAGTACATTTAGAGACTGTAGGTACCACGAGCAGGCCTGATAACTGAAGGCTCTACCTCCCATAGTACATTTAGAGACTGTAGGTACCACGAGCAGGCCTGATAACTGAAGGCTCTACCTCCCATAGTACATTTAAGACTGTACCACGAGCAGGCCTGATAACTGAAGGCTCTACCTCCCATGTACATTTAGAGACTGTAGGTACCACGAGCAGGCCTGATAACTGAAGGCTCTACCTCCCATGTACATTTAGAGACCGTAGGTACCACGAGCAGGCCTGATAACTGAAGGCTCTACCTCCCATAGTACATTTAGAGACCGTAGGTACCACGAGCAGGCCTGATAACTGAAGGCTCTACCTCCCATGTACATTTAGAGACCGTAGGTACCACGAGCAGGCCTGATAACTGAAGGCTCTACCTCCCATAGTACATTTAGAGACCGTAGGTACCACGAGCAGGCCTGATAACTGAAGGCTCTACCTCCCATAGTACATTTAGAGACTGTACCACGAGCAGGCCTGATAACTGAAGGCTCTACCTCCCATGTACATTTAGAGACTGTAGGTACCACGAGCAGGCCTGATAACTGAAGGCTCTACCTCCCATAGTACATTTAGAGACTGTAGGTACCACGAGCAGGCCTGATAACTGAAGGCTCTACCTCCCATAGTACATTTAGAGACCGTAGGTACCACGAGCAGGCCTGATAACTGAAGGCTCTACCTCCCATAGTACATTTAGAGACTGTACCACGAGCAGGCCTGATAACTGAAGGCTCTACCTCCCATAGTACATTTAGAGACTGTACCACGAGCAGGCCTGATAACTGAAGGCTCTACCTCCCATAGTACATTTAGAGACCGTAGGTACCACGAGCAGGCCTGATAACTGAAGGCTCTACCTCCCGTACATTTAGAGACCGTAGGTACCACGAGCAGGCCTGATAACTGAAGGCTCTACCTCCCGTAGTACATTTAGAGACCGTAGGTACCACGAGCAGGCCTGATAACTGAAGGCTCTACCTCCCATAGTACATTTAGAGACCGTAGGTACCACGAGCAGACCTGATAACTGAAGGCTGTACCTCCCGTAGTACATTTAGAGACCGTAGGTACCACGAGCAGGCCTGATAACTGAAGGCTCTACCTCCCATAGTACATTTAGAGACCGTAGGTACCACGAGCAGGCCTGATAACTGAAGGCTCTACCTCCCATAGTACATTTAGAGACTGTAGGTACCACGAGCAGGCCTGATAACTGAAGGCTCTACCTCCCATAGTACATTTAGAGACTGTAGGTACCACGAGCAGGCCTGATAACTGAAGGCTCTACCTCCCGTAGTACATTTAGAGACCGTAGGTACCACGAGCAGGCCTGATAACTGAAGGCTCTACCTCCCATAGTACATTTAGAGACCGTAGGTACCACGAGCAGGCCTGATAACTGAAGGCTCTACCTCCCATGTACATTTAGAGACCGTAGGTACCACGAGCAGGCCTGATAACTGAAGGCTCTACCTCCCTAGTACATTTAGAGACCGTAGTACCACGAGCAGGCCTGATAACTGAAGGCTCTACCTCCCATAGTACATTTAGAGACTGTACCACGAGCAGGCCTGATAACTGAAGGCTCTACCTCCCATAGTACATTTAGAGACTGTACCACGAGCAGGCCTGATAACTGAAGCTCTACCTCCCATAGTACATTTAGAGACTGTAGGTACCACGAGCAGGCCTGATAACTGAAGGCTCTACCTCCCATGTACATTTAGAGACTGTAGGTACCACGAGCAGGCCTGATAACTGAAGGCTCTACCTCCCATAGTACATTTAGAGACCGTAGGTACCACGAGCAGGCCTGATAACTGAAGGCTCTACCTCCCATAGTACATTTAGAGACTGTACCACGAGCAGGCCTGATAATGAAGGCTCTACCTCCCATGTACATTTAGAGACTGTACCATGAGCAGGCCTGATAACTGAAGGCTCTACCTCCCATAGTACATTTAGAGACCGTAGGTACCACGAGCAGGCCTGATAACTGAAGGCTCTACCTCCCGTAGTTACATTTAGAGACCGTAGGTACCACGAGCAGGCCTGATAACTGAAGGCTCTACCTCCCTAGTACATTTAGAGACCGTAGGTACCACGAGCAGGCCTGATAACTGAAGGCTCTACCTCCCATGGTAAATTTAGAGACCGTAGGTACCACGAGCAGCCTGATAACTGAAGGCTGTACCTCCCGTAGTACATTTAGAGACCGTAGGTACCACGAGCAGGCCTGATAACTGAAGGCTCTACCTCTGTTGGGGTTGTATCAAGTCAACTTTGGTTATATTCTTTAATAATTATACTTAATTATTAATAATATAAATAAATATCATTAAACTATGTTTAATCTCGTTTTGGGGCACCAACCTGTAATCAGGTAAAATAACCAAAATATCACTCAAATCAGTCTCAAATTAGTTATTTAATTACTAATATTATTAATAATGAATAACTATATTTCATAAATTGAAGGCGTGAAATCCGTACACAAAGCCTTCGCACCCAGCTTATATCACAATGTAAATACACCAGTAATCACAAACAACTTCTCTCTTAAATTATAAACAGAATTTATTTAAACAAAGCAACATCAATCCAAAATCAATGAACTTAATTAAACAAATAACTATTATAAACTAATCTAAGCAACAAACATTATCAAGCAAAGGCTTGTGGAAGAGGTGTGAATGTAGGTGTGTGTGTGTGTGTGTGTGTGTGTGTGTGTGTGGTGTGTGTGTGTGAGAGAGAGAGAGAGAGAAAGAGGGAAGAAGAAAGGGGGGGAGATGGCTTCGTACCCTCGTGGTCGTTCACGATGGCGCAAACCTAACAAAGACCTGGGTGCGTGCACGTGTGGCTGAAAGGGAAGAGAAGGGGGGGGAAGATTACTTCGTCCCACGTGGTCGCCCTTCCGATGGCACACACCTAACAAAAGGCCTAAATGTGGCCTTAAGGTCTAAAGAGACTGAGTTCGGCCCTACACAATCTGTGTCTCTGAGGCGTCTGGATAGCCGCGAGTGTATAGATCTCTGTGCGTAATGGCGCGGTGGTGGAGTTGGTCTCCAGATGTA